GCATGCCATCACCCTAAGGGAGGGGGCGTCACCGATTTGTGGGCGACCATACTGTTACACTTAGATTCCGAAGGATGAGATTGAGAAGCTGATTCGGGAGATGTTGGAGGCTGGGATCATCAGGATGAGTGCGAGTCCCTTTTCTAGCCTAGTCTTGCTCGTTAAGAAGATGGACAAGAGCTAGAGATTTTGTGCGGATTACCGGGCCCTGAATAAAGAAACTGTAGTGGAAAAGTTTCCCATACCGATGATAGATGAGCTACTGAATGAGTTGTGTGCAGCAGTGGCGTTCACCAAGGTGGACCTGAAGTATGGCTACCATCATATCAGGATAAGGGAGGAGGATGTCCCGAAGACTTCTTTCAGGACATGTGAGGGGCATTACGAGTTCTTAGTGATGTCGTTCATATTCACAAATGCCCTGCCACTTTCCAGTTGCTCATTAACAGGTGTTCAAACCATATCTCTGAATGTTTGTATTGTTTTTCTTTGATGACATATTGGTGTACACCAAGTTGATAGGGAGCACTTGATGCATGAAAGGGTGGTCTTGGAAGTATTACAGGAGCATTAGCTTTGGGCCAATTTGAAGAAGCGTTGTTTTCCATGGACTAGTATGAAGTACTTGGGGCACGTGGTTTCTCAGGAGGGGGTGGTTATAGATCAGGCTAAGATTTAGGCAATGCAAAATTGGTCTCTACCTAAGAATCTGAGCGAGCTGAGGGGCTTCCTAGGTTTAACGGGGAACTACAGGAGATTTGTGAGAGGATACAACACCATAGTCTGACCCTTAATAAAACAACTAAAGAAGGACAACTTGTGGGGAGAGGCAGCTACACAAGCCTTTGAAAGACTGAAGAAAGCCATGAACACAATACCGGTTTTGGCCCTATTAGATTTCAATCAGGTTTTTCTAGTGGAGACGATTGCATCAGGATATGGGTTGGGGGCTCTGCTCATGTAGAATCACAAACCCATAGCCTACTTAAGCCAGGTGTTGGCAGCCAGAGCTAGATTGAAGTCAGTCCATGAGAGGGAATTGATGGCCATTGTGTTAGTCTTTCATAAATGACGACCATACTTGTTGGGTTGATATTTCATTGTCAGGACATACCAAAGGAGCTTTAAGTTCCTTTTGGATCAGAGAATGATGACGGAGGAGCATCATAAATGGTTGTCAAAGCTATTAGGCTATGATTTCAAGATTCATTATAGGCCAAGATTGGAGAACAAGGCGACATATGCCTTGCCCAGATGCATGAGAGAGCTCTAGGAGTTGGCTACCCAGATGCATGAGAGAGCTCTAGGAGTTGGCTATGTCGATATCACTGATGTTGGGTTTGGGAGCCATCAAAGAGGAGAGTATGCAGGATGAGGAGTTGGGAAAAATTAGAGCTGATCTTCTGAAGGAAGAGAACAGTCACCCGAATAACTCTCTAGAGGTGGAGAGACTGCTGTATTAGGGGAGTTTTGTGATGTCTTGGACCTCAGTTCATATCCCACATATGCTGAAAGAGTTCCACGGGAGCGCGGTTGGGGGCCACTCGGGTGTGCAGAAGGCATACATGAGGCTGGAAACAGAGCTATATTGGAAGGGGATGAACAAGGATGTGGAAGAGATGGTGGTTCGATGTGAGCTGTGCCAGCGGAACAAATACATTGCCATGGCTCTTGGGGGGTTATTGCAACCCTAGCTCTACCGAACAGAGTGTGGGAGGTCACCATGAACTTTATTGACGGGTTTCCTTGCTCTGAAGGGTTCACAATGATTTTGGTGGTAGTTGACAGTTTGAGAAAGTATGCTCACTTCATCCTCCTACGACATCCTTACATGACAGTGATAGTAGAGGTCGCATTCATCAGGGAGGTGGTTAGGCTTTATGGAATACCAAAATCTATAGTGTCCGTCTGTCCGACAGAGATAAGTTATTTCTCATCTATTTTTGGAGAGAGCTGTTATGGCTACAAGGGATAGTGTTGAAGAGGAGCACAACGTCGGACAGAAAAAAGTGGTGAATAGGAGCTTAGAGAAATACATATGGTGTTTGCTTCAGAAACACCTAGGGTATGGGCCAAGTTGTTGGCTTGGGTAGAATACTAGTACAACACTTTGTACCACTCGACCTCCCAAATAAGTCCCTTCAAGGTGCCGTACGGAAGAGACCCTCCCTACTTGGTATATTTTGGGCAGAGTCGCACACCAGTATCTTCAGTAGAGCAGTACTTAGAGGAAAGGGATAAGGTGTTGGAGGAATTAAAAATCCACCTCTTAAGGGCTCAATAAATTATGAAGAAACATGTGGATGGACACATGAAGAACATCCAATTTGCCGTTGGGTATAGGGTATTCTTAAAGCTGCGACCCTGCAGACAGAGGATAATAGCCAACAAAAGTAATGGAAAACTAGTCCCGAGGTACTTTGGCCCTTATGAGATATTGGAGAGGATTGGAGCAGTGGTTTATCGCTTGAAGTTACTTCTGACTGCTTCCATGCACCCAGTGTTCCACGTATCACAGTTGAGGAAAGCCGTGGGGGACCATGCAGCTAGTTCAGAATTATCAGGGACACTAGCACAGAATCTGGAGGTGGTTTTGGAACCACTGAAGCTTAAAAAGGTACGCTAGGGAGAGGGAGAGTCTAAAGAAGTGTTGATTAAGTTGAAGAACTTACATGATTATGATGCCACTTGGGAGCCATATGAGAGGGTGAAACATCAGTTTTCCTCCTTCCACCTTGAGGATAAAGTGGCGCTTTGGGAGGGGAGTATTGATAGATCAGTCATTGACCGGTCCAACTAGGATCGATCTAGATTTACTGGAGGCGGAACAGTGGAAGTTCCGCCCCCATCTCTGCTTCCCCTTGATAGTGGGGTCCACAAGCTTAACTAGGGGAAATTAAAGGGGAATTAGGGGTTTGGGGGGGGGGGAATTAGGGGTTTGGGGGGGGGGGATTCAAATAGAAGGGGCTGTTTTGAGATTTACTTAATTATTGTATGCTTAAGTATGTTTTGGTGGCTAGGGTTAGGTTTTTATGTCCGTTTTTACTAAAATTTTTTGTTTCTTAGTTCTTGTTTGGGTTCTAGGGGCATCTAGAGATTTGGGAGAGCTGGATCTTCCTCTCCAATAGAAGATCCATTGTATCTTATTTATCTTCTTCCGTATTTCATCAATCTAAAGGCTATTTAGGTATTTTGGCCACATCATTCTTCTCTATCTCTGATTCTATATTGCTGAAATTTTAATTTCAGCCATCAATTTTTTCACTTGTTTCCTAACAGAACGCGGTGAAGGTCTATTATTTGGTGGGTTCCCAGCAAGGTCTATTTTTGCTCATGTTTCTATGTTGGTTCTTTTGAAATATTACGACTTTCATTTGCCTTGACATTTCATCTAACTTACCCATTTGTTTTGTCAAATTTATTTCCAAATTTTTAGAAATTTATAGTCAACAAGCTTTCTATGTTTTATACCTTGCGCTCAAGTTATTTCTACTCTTTTAAATAATCTTTCATATTCATATCTTAATGCATTAAAACTTATGGTGAATTGAATGCAAAAGCAAGAATAATTATTATATGAAATTCAGCTATTGGAGCAGTTTTGCATACAATGTAGAATTACTTATTGGTTTTGAATTTCAATTATATAAAAAATCCAAACATAAAGACATCAAGTTTGCCACAATAGAATTAGAATCAATAAATAGAATAATTCATGTATTAATGATAGACAAATTTAGAATTTCTTTAACTCAGGATCATGATAACGTGGACTTTCCTAAAGCAAAGAGCTATGCATGACACTAGACTTGCAAATTATGCATAGTGCTTATAGAAGAACCCAATCAAATTCATCCAGCAGTTTAGTAGATATTGTTAGATAGTCCGACCAGACTCTATATTGTCACAGTTGGATCGTACTCTAGTGTTCATGTAATGTCTTTTAGCAGAAGTGTTGATTTCAAAGAAATATTAGTAGTGATGAGGTTTTCACAAATTTAATTTAGATTTTTGATGATTTTGTAGGAATGATTAAGAGAATCTAGAAGATGAGTGGAAGAGAAAGAAACAAAAGGCGAGGGGGTGGATGAGGAAGAAATATACAACAAATAAAGGAGGGTAAGCAGGTTGTGTCAATATGTGTTTTGATGGCATTTTGATTTTCTAGTTCTTTTGGACTCATGGGTGGAGAAGAGAGTGCGGGGAAGTGAAAGCATGGTAGATGAAAAAACGCTTGAATATATTCAAGTGCAAAATATCAAAAAATTGACAAATATTAGAGCAAAATAACTCTGATACCAAATTAATGAAAGATACGTGTTGAAATTATGTTAAATATAGGACATAGAAAAAAACAAAATAAAATTTACAGAAACAACTGGTCTTCGAGCTATTGATATCAAATCCTCTAGATTTTAGGTTGCTAAAACCTCAAGGCAAGAAAAGTTCAAAGCCAAGTTAAGGGCTTTTTGAAATTTCATTGAATTTTTAATAAAAATGTATTTTTAAGGAATTAGAAGACTATTTATGGAAATAACCTAAAAATTAAAACCTTATCTATCCCCTCAGGGTAATTACAAGTTAGACATCAAGAAATAAGTTATGATAAACAAAATTGCTAATTCCTTAACAAATTTAAAAATCAAATATACAATAAAATTTTATCTATCCAGATTACATCTGTTTGAACATACTGCATATTACATTAGATAATTTTGATAAAGTACAAGTTGTGAATTGTTAAATGTTTCGTTTCTTTTTTATTCTTTTTGATGATTGGTAGTTATTTGATGGCTGTTAGTTTTATAGATTGTGTGAATTTCGGTGGCACATTTAAATCTTCCATATTGATATTTGTAAAAAACGTACATGTTTGATCGCACCTTATTCTTAGACAGCAACTTCACTTTACATTTCCGAGGCATGCAGCTTTTTTATATACCAGTTTTTTGTATAGTACTTAAGAAGGCTTCCTCACTTTTCTTTTGCTTATGCTGCAGCGTTCTTGTCCACAGCGGCGGTGTGCATGGTGGACATTACTATGCTTTTATTAGACCAATTCTTTCTGATCAGTGGTAGGCAGCTAATGGTTTTGTTCTTATCTTTTGCTGATTTAACCTGCAAAAGTAGTCCATTTTCTTTCCATTTGGCCTTATTTAGATTTCTTCATAGCTTCTCAGAATGTTGCATGTTTGCATTGCTTGATGTAGTTTAACAATATATATTTGACCATGTCGTGTGAGCCAGGATTCATGCTTAATCTCATGGAGTGTTTCTCTTTTTTTTTTTCCTTTACCCCATGGTTTTTATTTGAACCATTGTTCCTATAATTGCCTATATCAGAGTGATATGTCACATGCCTACTTTCTAATTATTTCTGTGTTGGAGGTGGTTCACAAGAACACGAATTGAAACTGATGAATTTATCTTGATATCGGAACATATGAAAATATGACTGATGTAGAACTATACATGCAAGTGAATTTTGATTTGGAATTACGCATGCTTGAAGAGAGCTTGACAATTTATTAACTCATAATGAACTTAAACAATCACATGCTAATGGGAGGACCATTAAATAACAGATTAATTAATAAAATGCTCACGTGGTGTTTCAGAGACAATCTCTAAGTTAACAAATTAGTCACTATAAAGGCCCACTCACACAATGCTCTTGTCGTGGGCTAAGCAGATAAGCTTGTTGACGTATATTTTCATGTCAACTCGACCCTGATCGAGCCGATTGAGCCGGACCGGGTTTGATCGCGCTCGATCAACTAAATTGATCGTCGTCGAGCGTCAATTAACTCAAATTGGACCAAAATTAAATTAAATTAAATTAAATTTAATTAAATTAAAATCAAATCGATTCGAATTGAACCCAATCAAACCTTGCCGAGCCTCGTCGAACTAAATTCGATGCAATTTGGCGTTGATTTAAGTTTAATTTCGCAAAATTAACTTGATCAGACCCAAACCTACCCAAATCGGTTTGAGTCGAATCAGGTTCGGGCTCAATTTCAGCCCTAATTGATCAATTGGGTTAAAGTAAATTTTCAAATCAAAATTTCCAATCAAGGTTTGATTCACACAACAAAGGAGCAGGATTGGGCCATTTGGGTGGCCGTCTGCTGGCTTGCGTGCTTCTCCAGGCGAACGAAAGGGGAGAGTTCAGCTCTCCCAGGGGATCTCTAGCATCCGACTTAGCGAAACAAAAAGGAGGCGGAACTGAAGCCTTGTGGCTTCTCATGCGTGTCTTTGTCCGTCCCACACCAGGCGGAGGAGAGGGAGGAAGAGAGGGCCGAGCTGCTCTATCTTTCTTGTGCACGTCACGCTCCCAAAACCTTAGGACCTCGTAGTAGCTTAATTTATGATCCCCAAAACTCATGTTTGCTGTCCACTATGTAAACATGTGAGAGTCTTGTGATTTTTCATGGATTGCTCTCATGTGAGAGCCCATAGGGGACGACGATACGCGTAGGATTGTCGGATTTGTGTTCGGCAACCTCCCAATGCATGTTCATGCACTTATGTTGTGTCCAATCCATCACCTACAATCATGCCGTAGGATAGATGCTATCATTTGATCTTAAAGTCAATGATGATGCATATGTTTTGGATTGTCATTAGTCGCATGCACTTCTCATTTAAATGCATTGTCATGACAAAATTGACACCCAAATTTAGAAGAGTTTGCATGCATTGAAATTGATAATCTCTAGAGTTTTGTTTAATGTATGTATTGAATTTAATTGATTTGGGCTTTCTAGTCGTTGTGAGACAAACTTTCAAGGGTCTATGTAACAAATCTCACAACATAAAGAATCAATTAAATTTATATCTTGTATCATACAATAGAGGTGTGGAAATGCTTAGGAGATGAAGGAATTTCATGGCTTACTAAACTTTTTAATACTATTTTGAAGACTAAAAAGATGCCAGATGAATGGAGAATGAGTGTGTTAATTCCTATTTTTAAGAATAAAGGTGATGCACAAGATTGTGCGAATTATAGAGGTATTAAGTTAATGTGTCATACTTTAAAACTATGGGAGCGAGTTATGGAGCATAGGTTGCGGCGTGATACTAATGTTTCTCAAAATCAATTTGGATTCATGTCGGGTAGGTCGACTATGGAAGCCATACATTTATTGAGAGGTTTGATGGGGAAATATAGAGAAAATAAGGAGGATCTACATATGATATTTATTGATTTAGAAAAAGCATATGATAAAGTTCCAAGAGAAGTGCTATGGAGAGTTCTTGAAAATAAAGGAGTCAATAATACTTATATTCAAATCATTAAAGATATGTATGCAGGAGCTATTACTTGTGTTCAAACACAAGGTGGATTGACCAAGTATTTCCCTATTGTTACATACAGGATCAGCCTTAAGCCCATATCTTTTTGCTTTAGTAATGGATGTTCTCACTAGACATTTGCAAGAGGATGTACCTTGGTGTATGCTTTTTGCTGATGATATTCTTCTAGTTGATAAGACTAGAGAGGGAGTTGAAGGTAAACTTGAATTATGGAGGTCAACCTTAGAGTCTAAAGGTTTTCGCTTGAGTAGATCTAAAACAGAATATATGGAGTGTAATTTTAGTAGTAATAGACCTACTGAAGGGATTGTGACTTTGGGCGATCAAGTCATTAATAAGAGTACACGTTTTAGATATCTTGGATCTATTGTTCAGAGTGATGGTGAAATAGATGGGGATATTATCAGCAGAATTCAAATGAAGTGGAGGAATGCATCGGGCTTGTTATGTGATAGAAAAGTACCCCTCAAACTTAAGGGAAAATTCTATAAGATGGTAGTGAGGCCTGCAATGCTTTATGGTGCCGAATGTTGGCCATTAAAAGAGAAGCATAATACTAAGTTAAGTGTGGCAGAGATGAGGATGCTCAGGTGGATGAGTGGCTTTACCCTTAGAGATAAGATACGAAATGAGCATATACGTGAAAAGGTTGGAGTAGCTCCAGTAGAAGATAAAATTAGAGAGAGTCGCCTTAGATGGTTTGGCCACATAAAACGACGGCCTTTCGATGACCCGGTTAGGAGAGTAGAGGTATTAGATTTGACTTATGTTAAGAAAGGTAGGGGTAGACCTAAAAAGACTTGGTTAGAAAATATTAGGAATGACCTTTCTTTATTAGATTTAAACAAGAATTTGACTTTTAATAGGACACAATGAAGAAAAAGGATTCATGTAACCGACCCCACATAGTGGGATAAAGACTTGATGTTGTTGTTGTATTTTTCCAGTCCTTAATTTAAGAAGAAATAAAAACAACGAGGATTTGACTATCAATTCTTAAAAGTAATGCCCTTTTATTATAAAGAGGGTAATTTATAAGGATAGAAATTTCTCTAATATTCTTCTTGACAGGAAATGGCATGAGCTCACAAACCTTGTAGTGTTTTTTTTTTAAATATAGGACACGGGTACGGCGCGGACACGGCAATACATTTTTTATATAGTGTATATATATTAATGTAATATCATATTAAAAATGACAAATAATTATAAATGAATGACATGATAACTTGTCTAGCTTATAATATAAAATATTTAGTATAAAATATCTAATACAACCACAAAAATATAAGCAAATAATCACTTACTACAATATCAAGCATTCAAGCTTCAAGTACTAGGATTAGCTTTAGAGTGTTGTTTTTGGCCTTCAATATCATCATCATTGAATATCATTGCTTTCAACTTTGATTCAACAAGAGAAAGATTTGTAATTGTACAAAAAGAGAGGAGATGAAAATACCTTCACTGCCAAAGAAATGAAAATGAAAATATTCGATGAATGGGTATTAAATGCAGACGTTGATTTGGTATTGTGGATATGAAATAAGAAATTTAGTTTAAATCTCGCCAAACATAAGAAATTATATTTTTAAAAAAATTATAAAATATTTAAGATACGCGTGTCGGACACGCGTGTCCAATTAATTTTTAATATTTTTTTAATCGGACACGTTTTCGACGTGAACACTGCACGCCTCTTTGAGGAGAAGTGTCGGTGCATCATAGGTGAATTTGCTATCCAAAGCGCTCCAAACAGCTGTCCTTAACGTTTGAAGGCTCCCGGATGCTGCGTAGCTGCTGTCCAAGATGTTCCAAACATCGTCGCTGCTGTCCAGACCACTCCGGATGGTGAGTTTGCCGTCCAAAATGCTCCGGAGGGTGAATTTGCTGTCCAAGAACGCTCCAAGCAGCAGTTTTCACTGCCAACTCCTTGCCGATGTTGGTATGTATCCTGGATAGAAGAGGAAGAACCCTGAATTTGGTGTCATGATGTCCTCAAATGCTGCCTTGGCTGTTTGGAGAGTTTAGGATGTTGACTTTGCTGTCAAGAGGCAGCCGGAGATGATTTGGAAGGAAATAGAGGCTTCCTACCTTCCCTAGTTCAATAGAAACTCACTACAGCAGCCCCTTTGCTCCTGATTTTGAGAAAGGGAGGAGAAAGACAGCAGCAAACTCTTGGATCGGCACCTAGCTTTACTCGACTTCCTTGTTCGATTGGAGCAAACACCCAGCCGGTTGAGAATGAAGCTCCCCACTCACCCGATCAGACGCAGGCGCACGCACGGACAAAGCTGAAAGGCTTTGTTGCTTCTTTCCTCGCGATCGGGTCTCCTACACATGCTGAGGGTCGACCAACCCTCTTCTTCCCTTCAGTTGGACGTGCACAAGAAAGATAGAGCAGGACTTACGAGTTGCAAGAAGTGTGCATATGTTGAAGTTTGTGAACTCTAGTGAGATTTCGTGAGTGCTTGATATGAATTTAATCAACTATTGGAAATATCAAATCATTGTAAGGTCTCACATAGACTCTCCAAAGCCTATGTTGTAGATCCCACAAAATATGTTGTTGATTAAGTTTATGTACGACATTTTACAAAACAAACTCTCGATTGCTCTTAATTATCAAAATTCTTGAATTTGGAAGACCATCACATGCATGCACTCCTAGGTTTTTCTTAGATCATACCAAATTTGATCTTAAATCTCCTAGCAGTTATAGGGATAAATCTCTTCTATCAAAATTTTCTAA